AATAATAATAATAATAATAATAATAATAATAATAATAATAATAATAATAATAATAATAATGATAATGATAATAATAAGAAGATGAAGAAGAAGAAGAAGAAGAAGAAGAAGATTACATCTAAGTATGTCTCGTGAAGGAAGAGGCTAAGTGTGTATATGATGAGGCCGGTATAGATGAGGAGGATGTCGAGGATAATGATGAGGATGAAGACAACAAAGTGAATAGGATCATGAAGCATAGCCCAGGTCCCCAGGTTGCTAAACCAACCTAAACAAAAACTTATAGTTAAAAGAAGTTTTCACCTTTTTGAAAATACAAATATAATGCCAAAATATAAAGTGATTGACAATGTAACATGTAACATGAAGTAAGCCATTTTGATAATACAGAAAATAACCAAATTAAAAATGATTGACAATGTAAAATAAAGGTTATTGTTAGAATTATATAAAAGTTTGAAAGGTAGCATTGTTGACAACACGTTGACAATCCAAGTACTTGTATTGTGTAACAGCAAACTATTTGTTACTATCCGAATGTCTGGCGGTGCCCGTGAAAAAAAATCAGATTTTAAAGAAAAATTTGATTTGATTTTCGATTGTTAAAACAAAAATCGAAATTGTTAGCCTATGTTTGGCCAGAGCTACAGCTAATATATATACATACATATATATGCATACAAATATATACAGTCCCTTCAATAGTCCCTAACGTAACCCTGTAATATTTAAAACGATGTTTTAAACTGAAACAGATGATGATATTTCATTTTAGGATATCTGTCTAGGTAGGTGGGCGTAGGAAGACAACGATGTTGGATTTTCCTTATTAGATTTGATATAAAATCAGATATCTAGCTGATTTTATATCTACAAGGTTACCCACAAAGGTTGAGACTGTAAAGACGACTTGTAATAATTAAGATATAACGATTCCAAGGTTAAATTAAGTCTTCTACCTTGGATATAATCTTTTAATGGCTTATTAGATGATTTTGCAAAGAAAGACACATGTTTAAAAACTCGGTGATGGTGATGGACCAAACCTCTGTAGAGTAAAAAAGTAGATGTTAGTTCCACATTTATTGAAAATATATTTCGGTCTGGGTTGACCCTCGTCAGTTCTTGAGATTGTTTCTTCACAAAGATTAAAAACAAAGACACATGTTTACAGTTGCAGGGAATCATTAATATAAGGAAAGAGACAGTATATATTTCGTACAGTCGTCTCTGAAGTCTTATCCTTTATGGGTAACCCTGTTCATAAAGTTTGACTGTTTGCCTGTTTGTTTGTTTGTCCGATCAAAACTCATGGAACCCCTGGACCGATTGGCCAAAAATTTTGGAAACTCGGGAGAACCAACCGGTCGACTTTTATCGGGAAAACCAAGTGCGGGTAAACGGCGGGAGTAACTGTGAGAATTTTGGCAACGCTGGGTTTCTAAGCTAGTATAATACAACACTGCGTGGCAAGGGGGATACATATGATTAAGCTTAACATTAAGATTAAAAATAAGATTAAGATTAAGATTACGCTTAACATTAAGATTAAGCTTAACATAAAGATTAAAAGTAAGAGTAAGATTAAGTTTAAGATTAAGATTAAGTTTAAGATTAAGATTAAGATTAAGATTAAGATTAAGCTTAACATTAAGATTAAGCTTAACATTAAGATTAAGCTTAACAACATTAGGATCAAAAATAAGATTAAGATTAAGATTAAGATTAAGATTAAGATTAAGATTAAGATTAAGATTAAGATTAAAATTAAGATTAAGATTAAGATTAAGATTAAGATTTAGTTGAAGATTAAGATTAAGATCAAGATGAAGATTAAGTACCTATAGCAACTAGGAGGCCAATAATAGCGAATGCATTCATAGCTTGCCAGAGAATTATCCAAATTCGTTGTGTTGGGTATTCACAATCATCATTCTAAAGACGACATCAAAACTTTGAAAACAAAACTTTCAGATTTGAAAACAATTCTAAATCCTTTTATTGGGCTTTTCAAACTTCCAAAACAAAACTAAACACTTCTGTGTCTATTTTAACATATATGGATTACAAAATTTCTTATATTGATTAACTTAAAATGACAAAATATTATTGAATGTCGTCTTTCCTTTTCTCCTTTCCAGAACACTGTGTAGAGAATCAGAAAATCCGCTAAAATAAAATAAAATTGGAAATGATAAAAATAGCTGAAGTTTTTTGACACCACACTTCTCTAAAGTGCTTGTTTCTTCTTTTGTACAGCTTTTAATGTACTTTACTGTACAGTACAGAACAGTACAGTACAGTACAGTATTGTTGTACTGTACAGTACAGTACAGTACTGTACAGTACAATACAGTACAGTACAGTAAAGTACATTAAAGCTGTACAAAAGTAAGTTTCTAACCTGAAAGATAGAGTCCTCCTAAAGAAACAACTAGGTAAAGATAAGGACCGTAGAAGCATCCACAAACCATTCCAGCAATTCTTCAATATGTATTATTCTTTTCTCCAATATTAGCAGCGTCAAGTTTATGAAGGGCTATTTTATATTTAAAACATTAGAAAATTAGAAATAATACATCTTGAGATAACTTGGGTGCTTGTGCCCATCTTCTAGTTCAATTGTGAACATGTTCTATTTGTATACATTGTAAAATAATAACAAACAGTTGTTATGTTTAGTTCAGTTTATCTGGAAGAATAATATTCCTGAGGAGAATAATGATGATTAGGAGAACCTAAAAAATATCATGTGATCATAATCTAATAATTCATCAAATGTAGTTGAGGGTTCTTTGAAAAAATAAAATAGCTTGTTAAAGTAGCTGGTCTTATCATTGCAAGTTACACCGATATTCTTTATACCTTTGTCTGATCAATAGTTCGGAAGATATCGTCGTGTCTTAGCTTTAAAACTGTATAATCCTTTGTAAACATGGATATATCAATATATCCTTGATCAGACAGTCTTGAATGCCACTTTGTTAGTGGAGAGTCATTAAAATTTAAATTATCATGTTCAGGGTTATCCGGCACGGATAAAACAATCATTTACTTTAATATTAACAAATTGTATTCAAGGTCTATAAATTTTATTCTTAATATCGTCATATTTAAAGAGTTTCAGGTCGTCTTCCAATGTGGGTAACCCTATATTTTCGATGTTAGGTATTTTACCTAAGGCATTTTCCCAAACGATAACTTCCCAAGGGTATTTTCCCAAATGTGCAATTTCCTGAAGTGCAACTTCGCAAGTCTGTCCTAGCCGCAGCGATCGAGCACTTGTCATATTTTAACCATATCGCTCGTCCCCTTGCTCATTCTGCAGCGACTCAGAAGGCCTAACCTAACCTTAGGGAAGTTTCCGCTTGGGAAATTGAAAATTTGGAAAGAAATTGAGTTTTTGTCACAAGCTCAGATTTTCTAATTCCTGTAATTTAGCAACCCGTTTTTCTGGACCTTTCATATTTCAAACTATTAATTCTGGTAGATCAAATAGTCTCAGTTTGAAATATCAAAGGTTTACACCATCAGGTTGCAAAGATATAGGTAATAGAAAATGTTAGTTTGTTGCAAAAACTCAATTCCTTTGTCACTTGGGAAGTCGCCCTGCTGAAAATATCTTTAACAAAGTACCTAACAATGTATTCCTACTGACCTGAGTACCGATATTGAAGGGTGCACAGAAGCACACCCTGCTAGGAAGAACTCTCCTAATGCCTCCCATCTTCAATTTTATAGATAGTACACCTACCAGACCTAAATATATACTTGAGTTAAAATTTATGTTACTTTTGCCTGCAGAGCCAAAAGACAAAAGACGAACAAAATCAAGCGTTCATATAAAACAAAACTAAATACAAATTTTAAACTTTATTTAGTTTAGATAAAGCAAAGGAATTGAGTCTTTGCCACAAAATAAAACTTTCTAAACCCCCATATCTTTGCAACCTGATGGTGTAAACCTTTTATATTTCAAACTTTGATTTTTTATATCTAACAGAATTTATGGTTTAAAATATCTAAGGTCTGTTAAATTTAGTTGCAAAGATATAAGGATCAGAAAATCAGAGTTTGTGGCAAAGACTCAATTTCTTTTGTTGATTTTTCTGACATTTCAACCAAAAACCTTGTATTAGCTAGAAGTAACAAACCGTTAAAAAACTGACCAACAGTCAACCTTAACAAATTTTAGTAATATCTGCTGTTAGCGGTGTTAAAAATTAAGATAGCAAACGAGCTGCAACTTCATAAACGAAAGGAATTCCGTTCAGTTTTTAGATGAAAACGAACGGCTACTTAATGTGTTTGTCTGTTCCTCTGATTTATCTAATTGGGGGGAGGGGGATGTATGAACTAGAAAAACTTGTTAAGTTGCAAAACTGTTAATTAATAACAAAATTTTTGATTCTACAATCTTTATTATCTTTCTCTACCTGTGTGCTCAGTTAGCTGTACTGTATACTTACAACTGTTTACTAATATTGATATACTATAGGTTAGACCAGAATCAACTTATAATAATCAAATATGCAGTGCGCTCTCGGTATAGTTGATGGCCTATACAACTAGTAAAGGATTATCGTACATCATCATTCTATACACTATAACCTCGTTGGTACATCATCACTCTATACACTATAACCTCGTTGTTACATCATCACTCTATACACTATAACCTCGTTGGTACATCATCACTCTATACACTATAACCTCGTTGGTACACCATCACTCTATACACTTTAACCTCGTTGTTACATCATCACTCTAAACACTATAACCTCGTTGGTAAATCATCACTCTATACACTATAATCTCGTTAGTACATCATCACTCTATACACTATAACCTCGTTGGTACATCATCACTCTCTACACTATAACCTCGTTGGTTAAAACCGCTTATTTGGGCGTTGTTCTTTAGTGATCTCTTGGAACAACAATGAAACAATAAATTCAATCTTTATCTTAATTTACTCAAGCCACCTAGGCTAGCTTTATGCAAAGCGTATAATTAATATCTTAACCCTATCCCTGTTGGGGAGGGAACTTTAAAACCAGGATACGCATCGACCCCCCCCCNCATGATGTGAAAATATGACAAATAATACATCATTGAAAAGCTCTCATGCTCTACTTTCAGAATCTGCAAAAAAAAATTGCAAATTGGCAAAATTCTTCTTTGCAAAATCCAGTTATATAGTAAAAATTTTTATAGAAAACTTTTTCCAAAAATACTAAAATATACTGAAAGTGGGTGAAAAGAAAGATTTAGTTTGTTACATGAAAAAGTAGTCATTCAGGCAGTGTGCCTGAGGATTCAAGCAGTTATTATAAAAGTCATAAAGGGAGGGCTTTGGGTGTTAGGAAAATTCAGATAATTTCACAGCCCCAGACCAATACTTTTGTAGATATGTATGCTGGGGGGGCCAGCAGGAATAGGGTTAAGGGACTTGCTACGTAACTTCATTTCAAGAAGTTAACATACCGTATCCTTGAAACTTTGGTCTGAGCAAAATAATTTAATTGTTCTGAAAATTAACAAATACAGGTTTTATATCTTAATCTTAGTTTGTTCGCAAAATAAGTGGAAAAGGGACAAAAATAAAAAAAATAATGTAAATAAATATAATATCATGCAGTTTTGTAAATAATAGAGAAGCTGAAAAGTCTCTCCGTCTATATTGAAGCAAATACAAATAATTTTCAGTTTCTGCATAAAAAAGTCGAAAGAAATGAAACTGGTAGATTCCATCTTTTTTTTGTTTTAAAATGAATAATTATTAATTGTTATATATTAAAGAAAGTTTTACAGGTTTTCATGTAATATGAAAAAAAACTCATGAAGCGGAGGGTTAAGAGAAAATTCGCCGCCGGTTCTTTTAAATAAAATTCCTGAAATAGTTGTGTGAAAGATTCGTAAACAAACTCAGGAAAATGTTGGGTAAAATTCCTGAATAATCTACATTAGAGAAATTTCAAGTTACCCTCCATACAATGATGACAATGCCCGATTCACAACGGTACCCTTGAAATTTTATAATTTTGAATACTGATCATACAAATGGTTTCTCTACTAAAGTGATTTGCGCTTTTTATACTACAGGAAAACAAATGGAAAATGTCAGAAATAAGCACTTGAAATCTAGGAAAACGACAATATGTTCCATATAATTAATCAAATAAAGGTTTCAATGGTAAAAAATTGTGAAACGGGGAGTACCATCTTTACGTGAAAAGTCACTTATAAACATCATTCAAACTTGTATAAAAGTTTAAAATGCCTTTTGACATCTTAAATTTGTCTGAAACTCACCAAATTCTCTCACAGGGTTTGTTTATTGTTTGAAGGAGAATCTGTTTATTTTTCTAGCTCAATTTTCATCACTCAGACTTCAGGCCGTTTTGACCTTTCTGCTTGTATTACAGCCTGTTGAGCTGCCTTTTTATTTTATATTTAATCACAATTTAGTCTTTCACATTTTTTTGTTGGTCACTTGTTTTTTTTTCTGAAAAAATGTTGCACAGTGAGAACCAGAAAACTCTGGATAGGAAATCGACTTTTAGACTCAAGTTATGACTTTAAATAGTTCAATGTATATACATGACCAGGCACTGTACAATAGTGCAGTGTAAACAGACCCATTTCACTGATACGTGATTTAATAACTTACTACGTAAAGTTTTGTAACAACATCAAATGCGCTTCAATATTGCTTTAATGTTGTCTTCCTATTTCAAAATTATCTGGTTATCACTGTATCTGTATAAAGCAGTAATCGCTGTTTACGTTTGTGTGTTTGTTATTCAATTATTTTTTTTACTGATGCTTTAAGTGATAAATAATACATAAATTCCGGATTTGATTTTTTAATCAATGGTTAAAAAATCATAACATTTTTATCTTTTTCATTAAAAACTTGTTTTTTTTTCGACTGCAGCTGTATTTTCAAGAGAAAAAAATGGAAAATGTGAAAATGTCGTCTTTGTTACTTATAATCCTTGAAATCGGAGGAAGAATATTTTAAATTACATTAACATGATAGAAAAAATCAAAAAATGATACGAAATGTTAACTAAACATTCGAATGACCCGAATAAAATTTCGGAATTTTTGTATTGTAACATTTAAAGGATCAGTTATAAATAAAAATGAATTAGTTACGGTTAAAGTTGAATAATGCAACTTATAGAATTTATACAGACTCTCAACTCTCGTTTTCAACAATTTAATTTCAATTCTGCATATACATCTTTCATTTTTTGCAAATAGATTATTTTAGTTTAAAACCTAGTTTTTCAATTACCCTGTTCTTATTGTATGCCATTATCAGTATAAGTTTATTAATTTAGATTCATTTCTGATTTTTATAATGATTTTGAAAAACTTTTCAACCCCCCCCGGCCCCCCCCCTCCTCCTATTTTTTATTTAAGAAATATTTCTTTATAAACATCGAACATTTGTTTTGATAAATGGCTATGTTTAAGAAAAAACTATGGTGATTAAGCATAATTTTAAGATTTCAGATGTTTTGTATTGGTATGTCTCGATATAAGTTAAGAAAAATAAATGAATTTACACTCACAGCTTAATCTTTGTTTAAATGATTTTTATATGAAATACGAATTTTCCAACAACCCCCCCCTCGTTTTGTAAACCCACAAAATGTTTCGATAGACAATAAACATAGGTTTTATTGAAATAGGATATTTTAAAATTGTACAAATTATTACTGTAAAAGTTTTTACTTAAGAGACACAGATATAACATATTCCGGTGTATATATTTTGTTAAGAGAGAACTTGATCATTGTTTATTAATCACACGAGATTTACTATATAAGACTTGCCGCGTGGGGGGTCCATTTTTATTTATGTTTTCGTGTTCACCCTGTACGGATGAATATATTTTGGCTCACCCTGTTATTGTATTTTGTTGTTCATTCTATAATTATATTTATACTTTTATTCGTTTTGTTGTGTTCACCCTGTATTTACATTTTTGTTTTCATCCTTTATTTGTTTTCTAGTTTCATCCTGTATTTTATTATAGTTTCACCCTGTATTTGTATTATAGTTTAACCATCTGTTTTAGTATTCTAGTTTCACCCTGTATTTGTATTTTATAGTTTTACCCTGTATTTGTGTTCTAGTTTCGCCCTGTATCTGTATTATGGTTTCACCCTGCATCTGTATTATAGTTTCACCCTGTATCTGTATTATAGTTTCACCTTGCATTTGTATTTTAGTTTCGAATAGTATTTGTATTCTAGTTTCCTCTTGTATTTGTATTCTAGTGTCACCCTGTATTTGTATTCTAGTTTCACCTTGTATTTGTGTTCTAGTTTCACCCTGTATTTGTATTCTAGTTTCCTCTTGTATTTGCATAGTTTCACCCTGTATTTTTATTCTAGTTTCACCTTGTATTTGTATTCTAGTTTCCCCCTGTATTTGTATTCTAGTTTCACACTGTATTTGTATTCTAGTTTCACCCTGTATTTGTATTCCATAGTTTCACCATGTATCTGTATTATAGTTTTCTCCTGTGTATTTTTATTCTAGTTTCACCCTGTATTTGTATCGTTGTTTTACCCTTATTTGTATTCTAGTTTAACCCTTTATTTGTATTTTAGTTTCACCATGTATCTGTATTATAGTTTTCCCCAATGTATGTATTATAATTTTCCCCCTGTATCTGTATTCTTGTTTCCTCCTGTTTATTTGTATCATAGTGTCCCCGTCTGTATCTGTATTCTAGTTTGCTCCTGATAATTTATATCATAGTTTCCCCGGCTCTCTCTGTATTATAGTTTTCTGCTGTTTATTTATATCGTAGTGTCCCCGGCTCTATCTGTATTCTAGTTTTCTGCTGTTTATTTATATCATAGTTTCCCCGGCTGTATCTGTATTCTAGTTTATCCTGTTTATTTATATCATAGTAGATAAACCGCTGGTTGTTATCTGGGCAGTATTATTGTTTATTTAAATGAATATTTAACCATAGTTTTTTCATTTTCAGAAATTGTTTTGATTAATACAGATTAGGTTTACTTATTAAACATTCACTTGATCTCATGTTTTAAACATCGAAATGTTCGCTTGTATTTTCATTATTATTATTTTCATAAAATAACGCAACCTCGAAAACAAATATTGTAGATGTAAATTCTGTATCCTTATAAAAAAAATTAAATTTGACCAAATTGTTTAAAAATTAAGTCTTTTAACTATTTTTCTTTACTTTCTAATAATTACTACTTTTTAAATTTTCTCAGAAATTGTCAATTTTAATTGTTTATTGTCCCCTTTCAACATTGTTATTATTTTTTATTTCCCCAGCTGTGTTGGCTAAATTCTAGGGGGGGGAAATCTACACTACCCCCACTCTTACAATCGCAATTTATTTAATAGCGTGTGGACTGTGGAGCATTCATCAATATATTGTATCTATGTGTCTGTTTAGTATTGTCCACTCTAAACTCAGGAACCCCAGGATCGATTCGCCTCAAATTTTGAGTAGGTTGACGTTTAAAGGGAGCAATGTGTTTCAAGCCGGGTTAACAAGTTAGTAGCTAGAATTTTTGGTAAAGGTTTTTTTTCAATAATTTTAAACCCATTTTCTGGACAAAGACAGGATATTTTAGAAAGCCGAGCACTGACACCACCTAAATGTGTAAAGATGCCTAATTTAATATAACTAGGCGTTTAGGGCGCTTCGCGCCCATCTTCGATTTCAATTGTAAACATGTTCTCTTTTGGTACATTGGAAAAAAAAACCAAAAAAGTTTGCGGATTTCATAAAAAAATTTTGTGGATTTTCAAAATTTTCAAAAATTTAATGAAAAAAGAATTGTTAAGGGTGCAAATTTTTGAAATTTTCATCATTTTTAAAATTCCTGACGCCACGTGAGATCCCACTCAAAATTTGGGCCGGATCGGTTCAGCCGTTTTGACGTAATTATTGGATAAAAACAAACAGACAAACAAATAAACAGACACCCAGACAAGCTAAATTTATATAAAGATTGAAATCGTGAAGAATTCCAAAAAGTAAAAAACAATTGTATGAAAGTTTAACAAAATGAATAACATTTTCTGGAAAATCTCTTTTTTTAACATAAATTCTTTCCGAATTTTTTTTTCCAAAATTATATTTTCTTTCTTAAATCTCTTTTAATCGAAAAAAGTTACCCATTCCCTTTCTTTAGAAAGACGGATTCGTCACTTTCATTTTCATTTTTTTTGCATTTATAGTTTTGCTTTCATTTTTTCAATCTTAACCTTTTGAATCCCCTTAATACTATTCAGTAATCATCAACTGTTATAAAATATTTTCAGAAATTAATTTTTTGGATTTAGAGTTAGGAATTTTATAAAACTTAAATACATATTATTAAATTCTGGACACGCTCTTTAGAATCAGAAAAAAACTTTCACTTTTTAAATATTTTGAAAATAGCCAAGCTTGGTAACAGTTTAAACTTTCAACAATAACTGTAAACTTTAACATACAGTCTATATCTTCTGTATTTCAAACTAAATCGAAATACTTGAACATTCTCGTTTTCTAGCCATTTCTGTTAATTTTCAGATAAATAAGAGGATTCCATGGCGCTTTACGCCACTCTTTATAACAGTTATTTAGCTTTTCAAACGTTTTTGCGAACATCTTATCCGTATATTTATGAAACAACTAGTTTAGGAACCCAGTTTTGTCTGGAAACTAAACTTTCTCTGTGAAAGGAAACTCAACTTTGGTTAAAATGTAAAAAAAAAACTAAGCTAAGAACTTGTTCGTGGTGCGACCGAGTTTTCTGTTAATATATGAGGCAAATCAGTAAAGGTATGTAGGATCGGACATACTAATAAGATTAATTGCTTCTTTATATTTAGACTAGCTTGGAACCCAGCTTTGCCTGGAGTTTTCTCTAAAAGGTAGACCCACTCAATTTTAAATGTTAAAGTTAAGCTGATTTCTCTTATCATCATTAAGGCAAATCGGTCCAGGGGGTTCATGACTTATTATCGGACCTACAAACAGAGATTACTACTTCATATATGGAGATAACAAAGAAGAAATAATTGCCGAAAGATTTGAAGAATTGTTTTGTTTTTGAACTGGACGTACAGGGTGTCCCACGAAATATGACAATTGGTGAATAGATTAGAATGTCTTCTTTCATAATTTGTTAAATTGTTTAATACCGATGAAAATAATAAAAATATTATAGTAAAATATATTTGAGCAAAGGATTTGTTAAACGAAATAAACTGCAAACAGTCTTTTATAACTAATACAGGGTATGGATGACGACATTCAAAGCTGTTTACCAACTGTCATGTTTCGTGGGACACCCTGTATTTTGTCAATAAGAAGCGTTGAGCACATGTATATTCCGTACAGTATCTGATAGAGGATTATAACGGGGGGGGGATACCCCCAAGGGAAGGGGGGGGGCGCTCAGCAGGAAGAAGAGATGGGTTGTATGTCCAAGTTTTGATGG